TATAGGTTTTATGTTGTGTTAATCACTTGTTTCTAGATCTGGTCTTTGATTTTGTAGCATGGTTATTTGATTTTCTTTTGTGATTATATATGCTTGTATGTTATATGTAATGATTACTGTGTTGTTTTTTTTTCTATAATGTTTGTTGTATTATTGTTGTTACCAGTTTGTATTATGTTATTATTATGCTGGTTTGTTTGAGATGATGGTATTACTTGTTTTATGAGAGATATGTTATATTATTCACTTTTGTTACTAGTTGAAATTTGAGAAAAAATAGTACATCTGTTTTTATTATAAACATCTTTGTAGATAGTATCTAGGTTGATACAATGTTGTTGCTATCTAGTAGAGTATTTGTAATTACTACTTATCATGTCTGATGGTTTTACTTTATAAGTTTGTATTACTGATGATCTTAATAACTTTAATTTGCTTTTTTAATTAAAAGTATTAAATTTTCTCTTTTTACTTTTGTCTTGTATAGTTAAAATGATTGTATTCTTGCTTTGTATCTTGTATGAGTAGTTTTTTTTACCAAGAGTAGGCTTTTTTATTAAGGTTTTCTTCTATAGTATTCATTATTTTTTCTATTTTTTGTTTTTTGCCTCTGCTGATTTTTATATTTGATGATCTGCAGAAGAGAGTTTTTTAATTTTTCTATCTTTATATTTAGAATCTAGTTATATAATTAGTAATTAAATGATTAACTCTAACTAAAGTGTTGGTATTAACTATAATATTTATATAAAATTGCTTGTAACATATAATACTTTTATATACTGTAATTACTAACTTCAAAACTACTAATGAAGAAATAAGCAAGGTCTTATCTTAATACCAAAAAAAAACATCCTACTTATACCTAACTTTTATCAAACCAAATTACTAATATAAATATTTAATAATAAAATTATTTAGTATGTTTGTTTACAATATGACGATATATAACATATTTGTGATAATTTCAATATCAAAACATTAAATCTGCTAAATCTAAATAGGTCGTCTTTTATATTTCTATTATAGTTTTATATAAAGCATTTCCGCTGAAAACAAAATTGAGTTTTGTAAGAGTCGGATACGAGCCACATTTTCCAATTACGTATAACGATAAATGTAAATCGATTATATAAAAAAAAAGTTTTGGGATCATAATTAGAGATGGGAAAATCGAGTCTACTGCCTGCATAGCATCAGTCTCTAGAGACTTTTGCTCATTAGATTTCACGTTTGTATATATAAAACATCTACTTCATATGTGTAAAGTTGAGCTCCCATCATTTTTAATTAGTGCTCCGATGTTAGTTTAGACATCAGTTTTTGTTTTTTTTTACCTTTTTTCTGCATGTCGGTGGATTTGTATCAAATAGAGGAACTCATTCTGGTCAAATTTGCAGATTATATAGCCAGATCTAGAACAAACCGACTTTAAGTGTGATCAAAATGATCTGCAAGTTTGACCAGAATTATGAACGATGGATTCTATTAATCAGGTGAGGCGTGTTTTGTTTTTCTGTCAGGCCGTTCCAATGTCATTAACGAATCAAAACAACAAATTTCCGGATAAGTCCGAGCAGAATAAATTTTCGAGTTTGAGCTCTTTTTACTGCCAAGACCCCATATTAAGTGTCGATCTTAATTGTATAACTAATAATTATAATAGTCTTAATTGGTGTTTACGTTGATGGTTAGGGCGTTTCAAAGTTAACGTGCGGGAATCTAATTTTGACAAAATAGGTGACGTATTTATTTACAAATGTTCGATGTATCGACTTTATTTTTGTCAATTTATTTCGTTGAACGGGATCTCCGTTTCATTTTCCGATTTTAAAATTTTGAAATACAAAATAAGATTCTTCGAATTCTCATTTAATTGCAAATGAGCCACTTATTTGCTAACTTTGAAAGCCCCAATTTTAGTAATTTTGCTAGGAGGATTAATTGAAGTCAATTAGTTCAAATTCGCTTATTATAAAAGCTGACAAACCAAATTTCATTATTATTTATTTGGTCTATTTATATGCTTGCAATTAATATTTATGTATTTATACGTCCGCTGATTAGATTTAGGGATTTAAGTTTGAAGCTTAGTAAGATGCATAATTTTCCTGCGGTACTTGTTATGACAAACCAATGCAATAAGTGCTGACAAATCAGAAACCATGTTACATGAAATCTGACGTAGCATAAAAAGAAATTTCTTTGCTAACCCGATTCAAGATTTTTGCTGACGGCTTATATATTATATTTCGCTATGTTCCACTATTGTTTTGGGAGAGCTTATAGAACCATCGGCACAACTTAACTCGAATAGTTAACATGTATTTTCTTTGTATTAGGACTAGAGTAATACTTGTGCAGCACAGATCGGAGGACTTAATTATATCTATCAGTAAGACTTTCGTATGATTTGCTGTTTAAATCAACTTTATTTTACATTAATTATACAGTATAAAGTTCTTTTTAAACTACGAAGAATAAACAAAAAAGAAGAATGTAGAAAGCTTTATTAGAATTGTAGGACTCCACGGTAATAACCTAATTCTATATATCTTTAAGAAGTCGTTATTATGCCAGCCTCTCTAAAACCAGAATGATTTTGATTATATTTAATGGTTGAGTTCTACAAAAATAATATAATTTTTCGTATGCTTCTTTTTTTTTATTCTTCGCAGTTTTATTTTTTTAAACTTCCTATGGTATACCAATTACAGTTATGGCGTAGCGATACACTTAATAATATCAAAGGGATAACAATTAAACAATAAGGAATTAACGAAAATTTACATACTATCTAATCACCGTTTTTCAAAGAAAATTCGGGACAGTATGCCAAGTTGCAAATTACGAAATCTAATCTTTGATTACAATAATATTTACAATAAAAGTTAAATATTTTTTTGTTTTTTTTTTAATGTTAAGGCCTCTATCTTTATTGAAATTCAATTTAATTTTTTTTTATTCAATTCGCTACTTAATTAAAATGCACGTACTGTACGTAGTAGTAGATCATTGCGCCATTAATATAATACAGTTATATCTCCACCAAGTTATTCCACTCAAGTTGTACAGTGGCCACAAGAAAGTCCGGGAAATAATTGTTCACGTTGTACATTCTGTAAATCGAGAATGGCCGATGATCCGTTTGAAATAATTTTATCTTAAATGAATTCTAATATTTCGTACATGACTAATTCATTTGATTATTTAAATTCAAACGATTAATGATAATATTTATATGCCTAATTAATTTTTATGATTTTTGACTTAACCGAATCTTACTATTTATAGCATTCATTTAAACCAAATATTTTTCCGAATCATTTCGCGATCATCTTATCTTCATTGTTCAATAAAATAACTTTCATAAAGTTTACTTATATTATATACTTACTATTCAAAAACTCCTGACAAAGGGGTGAATATAACCGAGATTCGCTTAATACATAGTACCTGGCTTATCGTTTTCGGTTATTGTTATAATTAGTGATACGTTGAACACTTTACATATAAAATCATTAACATATCGATATGAAAAAAAAAATTGATATAAACATCACGAAAGATATAGAAAATGTCAAAGGCAAAAGTAATAAAAGCTTTCAAATTTACCTTTAGTAACGATCTTCTGATTTTGTAATATTCAAATAGTTAACAGTGATTACTTTAAATTCGTAAATGTAAATACGATACCACATGGCGAATGTCGAAGTCGGAACTCTTGATTTTTATTTTTTTATTATCAACTCATGATTTTTATTTTTTCATTATTGAAACTCATGATTTGAATTAACAAAAACCCCTACAGCATTTAAGAAATAAGTGAAAGGCTTGTGGTGTTAATAAGAGAAATTATGAAATGACAAACAATGAAACTACTTGTATGTATTCTCGGCTAAATTGTACAATTTAGCCGAGAAAGTCTTAATCACCTAATCCGTTAAGTCGTTAAATGTTTTTTTGAGATTAGTTGCTATATATTTCCTGTCTACATACTGGTTACTGACTGTCATATAAATCTGCTTAGATGATTTTTTTATTGATTTAATATGAGTCATGTTTTTTTTTAGCATAAGCAGGAATTCTACGCATTAATACATAAATAGGATATTTAGGAATTAAATTTTTTCTATAAATGATATAAATGATACTATACGTATAATTATTTTATGCTAAATCTGAGTCATAAATGGTTTAACGTTAACTTGATATAGATGTTTAACGCAATTACTTTATTTGGAGCATATGGCTTACATTGACGATTAGTCATCAATTTAATTAAAACTGCTTGGCTTCTTGATACACCACCGGTGAATAATGTTCCGGTTCAATAAAATTGATCGATTAAGATCTTGGCAACAGATAATTGGCTGCTACCATTAATTAACGTTAACAGCTAAAGCAAATGTGGTATGATCTGAAATAGATAAACCATTATTCACAGATATTCAAATTAACCGGATAATTATAACGTAGACGAAATTATTATTGCGCGGATGCATCTATTATTTTTATTACGGATATCAATATATAATGATAAAAAAAAAGCTCAAATGAAAAATCATTAACAAAACCTAGGGCCGCTTTCCAAAGTTCGGGTGTGTCACTGCCGCAGCATTTTGGATATTGAAATAAAAAGTTCGGATGTACGTACGTATGACATACACGCATACTGTACTACATCAGTGGCACCTGAAGTTTGCCTAACTTAAAAAGGATCAGCAAAATTTAGATCAGTAATTTAGATACATGTAATATATATTAATACATTATAATATTACATATACGTACAGTATATGCGTGTGTGCTTGCGTTCGTCATATGTTCGTTTTTAAGGTCGGAGTAAAGGTGCTAACAATGACCCATATCGGTATAATATTTTCCCTAATTTTCTTAGTAGGAAATCTAATATAAAATAGGTGAGAATGGTTGATTCCCATGAGAATAAAAAATTGTACATTATATCTATTTCTTCTTTTGACATCTTGTGCTCTAAAATGTATTCATACTTAGCTGCTGCAATTATTGCAATTCTTAGTTACGCTTTCTACAAATGTTACATTTATCCTTTATATTTGTCTCCTTTACGTAAAATTCCCGGTCCCCCCGTTGACAATGTTATCCTTGGACATTATGCTTCATTTTTAAATAAAGATCAAGGTGAAGCTCTTGCCTACTTATCACAAAAATATGGTGGGATGGTTAAGTATCATGGTTTATGGAATGAACCAAACATAGTAATTTCCGACCCACAACTTGTCCAACAAGTAATGGTGACTCGTTCATATGAATATCCAAAGCTCTTCTTAAACAAAAAATTTGCTAAAGAATTTTTTGGTGGTGAAGGTATCTTACTTGCTGAAGGAGATTCTCATAAACGACAAAGAAAAATGATGAATCCTTCATTTGCTTTTGCAAATGTTAAGGTAATATTTTATGACTTGTCAATAATGTGAACTATTAAAAACTGAATTTTTAAATTATATCTAATTAATATTTAACTTTTAAAATTTTAAGGAAATGGTTCCGACATTCGTTCAAGCTGGACATAAATTAAAAGATCTTTGGATGAAACAAATTAATAATAAGAAAGAGGAAAGAATTACAATTACAGCACTAATTCCAAAGATAACTTTAGATGTTATTGGTCTTGTTGGTAACCATTAGTTTTTTTTTATTAATTATACATGTTTATTAAATTTTATCAAAATAACATTTCCCAATTGTAATCGCGCTTTATTTAATTTAAATAGGGTTTAATTACGAATTCAATTCTACTTCTTCAGGATCTGAATTGGCTTATGCATACAAAACAATAATTGGTCGTGATCCTTCACCTCTATACATGGCTATTGTTAATCACTTTCCAGTTATAAGACAATTACCAACTGATTATAATAGACAATATTATGACTCTATTAAAATTATCAGTAATATTTCAGAAAGACTGGTTGCTGACCAAAAAAATAGCCTTGTTCAAGAAACTAATTTATTGTCTTTGTTAATAAAAGCAAATAATAACTTGCCTGTTGATGAACAATTAACACATCAAGAATTAATTAGTCAGGTAATAATTTATTTATTAAATCTATAGTGAATTATCATTTGAAATATAAAATGCATAATTCATCATTAAAGAACTTTATCATTTTGCACATTCATAAGATCAAGTGTACCGTGAAATCAAAACAAACCTATTTAACGCATTGATTTATGGTAAGGGTCAGCGTTAATATAGAGTAATGTTACAGAATAGTAAAAAAAAAACGTTCCTATACCAAAATTTTGCAAGGAATTTGTTTCACTAGAACGCAAAAAATGGTTCCATGCAAAATTATGAGTTACAAAAGATTTTTCGATTTCACATTACACCTGACTTACGGTCTGATTGGTTAATCAGATAGGTGTTATAACGCACATGCTTTAAAATTACATAACTCTTTTATTAAATTATACAAAATTTCAAATTTCAGGTTATGACATTGCTCATAGCTGGTCATGAGACCACTAGTGGTACACTTTCTTTTGCTCTATACTTTCTCGCAAAAAATCCCGATGTTCAGGATAGTCTTCGTAAAGAAGTGCTTGATGTATTAACCGATCGTAATCATTATCCAACTCTTGATGAGATTGAACGTTTAAAGTATTTAGAATGTGTCTTTAAGGAAACTTTGAGAATCATTCCACCTGGTATAGTTCAATATTTTATTATATTTTTGAATTAGGAGCGTTATGTGGTCCAGTCTTAGACTAAAGAACCAACCACAGTTGGGACCTGAAAATAATCTTAAATCCAAGCCAAACTAATTTGAACTGGTCTGGACTAACAAAGTTTTAAGACTGGAAACATGATAGACTAGACCAAGATTGACCAGATTGGACTAGACTGTTAATTTCCCTATTTGAATTGTTCTATTTATTTAAATTTATTTTATTTCGCCTTTTTTTATTTATTAATTAAAGTGCCTGCGCTCCTTCGTTGTAATTCTAAAGATGAAATAATGAATGGTTACTTTATTCCAAAGGTATTTTCCTAAATATCCCATGGTATAATTTACTTAACAATTTAAATAGTAATATAACTTTAAAATCTTTTCTTTTAGAAAACTCCATTATGGATTCCTATCTACGCAATTCATCATGATCCTTTAGTTTGGGGTGAAGATGCAGAATATTTTAACCCATCTCGATGGCTTAATCCGGAAATAAAATCAAAAGTAACAAATAATACTTTCTTACCTTTTGGTGCTGGTCCAAAAAATTGTTTAGGAATGAAAATGGCACATTTAGAATTTAAATCTATTTTAGCAGTACTTATTAGAAATTTTGAATTTAAATTAGTTGAAGGTTTTACTTTTAAAAAGAAACTTACTGGATTATCTAAACCTATTCCTGGTCTTGATTTATGGGTCTCAAAATTGGATTATTAATTCTTTTTTTTTCTTTAAAATATGTTTTGTTTAATATTTTGTTTAAATTATATTTTTTTAAAAATTCTATTAAATATTTTTGGCTTTAAAATCGGTTTAGTAATTTAACAATAACTCTTTAAAATTTTTAAAGTATTTTAAAATATGTATCTATAATCATTAAACTAAGCAATAAATGTTAGGGTGGTTTAAATACTATTCAATCAAAACATAGTTAAGGTCAGATTTTTTTACAGCCATCGATCTTACAATTAATCCAACACCTGGTGTGCAACACAAAATAATTATTTTACAATACCAGAACACGCTAGTACATGTTATGATTATAATCTTACACCTGTTTTTATTATAATAAAACAGGTGTTGGATTATAATCATAACATGTACTAGCGGAATGGAAAAATAATTATTTTGTGTTACATGCAGGTGTCGGATTAGTTGTATAACATCAACGGTCTCTGCTGTTCATCGATCTATACATACCGGATGTTTTAAAAACTCCACCCTTTTCTTAAGTAATTATATATAGAGATCACAATACTTATCATATATACCGGGTCACTAAACAGGACCTTTGTTGTAATCACTGAGATTATCATTATTAGAGTTTATAATTAGTAATCGTTGCAATTTTTATATATAAAATATTAGCGAAGATGGTAATAAAAGGTCCTGTTTAAGGACTTTTCACCCACCCAGTATAACTGTATAAAGGCACTTAATAAAAAGGGACTGTGTATAGGAATTTTTTGAAACACCCGTACGTGCATATTTTTGTCTCTCGAGTGCGCAATACGTACTAACAGTGCAGAATTCGAAAGTATCGATCGTGTAAACTAAGAAATAATAATCTTCTAGTGCTACTGTCTATCGCAAGGGTGGGATAAAAAAAAAAACCAGACAATTTTATCTGGAAAAAACTCTTAGTTCCTCTTTGATTAACCTGCTAGACAAAAACTAAATAAATACCAATCTCTTCTGTGACCATCGTCCTGACAGGCCACTTCTATGTACACAAATATAAGAAATTCTTTCGTGACCGTTAGTGTTAGCAGGTGAAACCTAAGAGTTTTGCCACAGACGAAAGGCGAAACTAGTTTCGACTTTCGCCAAAAAAAAATTAAAATGGCGAAATGGTGAAACTGGCGAAAGGTGGCGAAACTGTTAATAGGTGGCAAAAGGTAGTAAAATTAGTAAAAAAATAGCAAAACTAGCAAGATGGAAAGGTAATTAAAGAAAATTAAAGTTTTTTTTTTTTATTAAAGCGGCAATCTTGCCTGTCTGTCTTTATTGGGTAATATATCATTATTCAAGTATATACAAAGTCTATCAACGAAAGTACAACTAGTCACACGTATAACTTTAGTCATTATCTAATTAAGGGTTCCGCCCAAGGGTTACCCACTAGTTGTCATACCTGAGATCCGCCTGTGAATCCTTTATTTAAACTTTCTGATTTCAATCCTAATGCATATATGCAATGCTTCTATTACCACATAGACATACCAGGTTAGGGACTATTTATATCAAGGTACCATCTCATTGGATGTTACCAGGTATCCATAGTCTCTTGAATTTACCTTTGACACAGACTTACTAAGTATGATACCAAGATTACCCTTTAGTTTATTCAATTTTAGTAGATTCTGTATCTACTAGAACCAGTTTGGTCAGAAATGTTTGAATTTCAGTAAGTCTATTTCTTTTCTATAGTTTTCTTTTATGTTTAACATATCATTTACTAGTGTGTCTTCTCTCCATTTCTGGTATGTTCATCACTTCTCTTGCATCGAGCATCAACTCTTCATATCGGGAATCTTTTTTTCGAGAACTTCCTTATATACTGATCTTCTAATTATATGGACTTAGCTACAAGGCTTTGCATACATTCATATGCTTTCATAGATTACAGAGTTACTTTCAGTTGGAATTGAACTGTTGATCTTGTCTGTAGAGGGAGGGATGCCTAGACCATTAGGTTACAGGATTCCATCTCTTAGAAAATTAAAGTTTTTTATATAATTATCAATATTTTTATTTATGTATATAGCATAGCATGAGATTCTTATTTATCATGCATCAATTTGATTAGTTAATTTTGTCAATCATCATTACATAAATTTAATAAAAAATTTTAAATTTTTTTAAATTTTTACTAATAATATTACAAAAATAGACAGTTCAGTCTTTTCAGAAGTCTTAGAGAATTTGATTTTTGTCAAGTTTTGACTTTTTCTAGGAGTTTAACTTTAGTAGAAGTTTCATTGGCCAACACTAGTAACCATCATTCCAACAACCCACTTCTGTATATAAAACAACAAACAAAAAATTCTTTTATGACTGTCATCCTAACAGATCACTCTTATATACATGAATAATAAAATTTCATTCATGACTGTTGTCCTGACAGGCCATTCCAATATCAGTTGACTGAGATATCACATGTATAATTTTTTTAATAGAAGTTTTATAAATAAAATTAAGACAAAATTTGATTTTCAAGCTTATTTGATAATAAAAGAATTTTTAGTTTAATTATTTTACAAATTTTTTAGTATTTGAAAATTCTTGTGAAATTTTAAATTTTTTACAATTTACTGTTTGTTTATATATAATAATATGTGATGTATCTAACAAAAATAACATCCAATAATTAATTTTATAATAAATTATATATAAAATCTTTTTTAGAAAATTTTATTAGAAAAAAAATTATGTTTTTTTAACTCAATGAAAATTATACATCATAAAATATAAATATCAAAATTTTCAATTATATAAATTATAAAATATTTTTGATATTAAAGCTTTAAATTTTTAATAATTTTAAAATTTTAAGTTTTTATTATGTTTTTACTATGTAAATGTTGTAAAATTTAATTGTAAGTTTTATGTTATATTAAAACTTATATTTTTTTTATAAAATAATTTTTTTATTTTATATTGCTTTTAAAATATAATAGTACTATTTTTAATAATTTTAGTTAAGTTTTTTTAAAAAAATTTTAAATCTAAATTAAATTTTAAAATCAAATTTATATTTTATATATAAAATTTTGAATTATAAATTTTATAATTTAAAAAAAAAATAAATCAATTTATTTAACTTAATAAAACTCATATATTATAAAATATAAATATTGAATTTACTAATTAAATTAAAAAAGAAAATTTTAATTAAAAAAAATATTGATTTTTTTTTTTTTTTTTTGAACTTTGGTGACAATGCCAGTTGGTTTTTTATTAGTCTTAATTTGATATAGTACAAATTTATAGTTATATTTTTTTTAGAATTGATTATTACTAGTACTATATACTATATAATTTAACATCACTGACTTCATTCGATTACCTTTATGGCACCTAAGTGCATGTTTGCTATATTCCTGCATGCAGTTACCTTGGCAACTACTTGCAGTCATAGCATACATTAAACCGCTATACAGACAAAGATACCTACTGAACTTAATGCAACATTCCAAATGCTAGGGGTACTGTCTTTTATAAATCATACCTATATATTCTACTTACATGTTTTATCTGGTCTTGTTTCTTCTGTCTCCTAATCTAACTATATCTAGTATTATCTTGTTTCCCACATTTCCTACCTTTTCGTCACTGTATCACTCCCAACTTGGTCCTACTCAGGTATGTCTAATCCTTATGATCTTCTCATCTTTGGTTTGTCTGTTATTGATTCCCCTAAGATGTTCTGACAATAGTCCAGAATTTACAATGAACCTGTATCTTAAGCCAGATTTGCTACTACTATTGGTCTTTTGATCAATCTGTATCTCAAGTCAAACCTGCTACTACCATTCCTGCAGATGTCCCAGATCTTAACATCATACAGTAACTCAATACTGCATTTAACCTCCAAAATGATGCTTCCTTTTATAGTAGAGACTGGGACTTGTTGCACTTACAAACAGGACAATTCTGGTTATACCTAGAGAGTTTCTCCAACCCTAGTGATACCATACTACCATATATTGCAAGCTTCTAGCTTATTTAACAATACCTGCAGGACAATTCTGGTTATGCCCAGAGAGTTACACTGACCCCAGTGATGTCATACTACCTTGCAGATCTTATCTCATATTGGTTGGTTGATCTCTAGTCTTGTTCATCATAGACTTCCATATTGGTATAACCAGAACCCGATTTGGTACTTTTTACATTGCACAAGGAGGTTATATGCCTACCTTCAAGATCTTCCCTTCTATAATTAGATTATTCGGCTGTGCCAGA